TGGTGCCGACAAGAACGTTGGCACTGAGCCTGCCTGCCACTCCAGCAGCAGCAGCGGACCCTCCCTCAGGGCACCTACAAACAGCCCGCAGCACCAGGAAAAGCAAAACAGAAGTCAGTGCACACTTCTGAGCATAGATCATGCTCAGCAGGATCACAGCCCAGGGAGCCGCAGCAGCAATTCTTAAGTCAGGATGACATCTCAGTGTCCCCTCAGCCCTACTTCATTTCCCCCCCCCTCCCGTGTGTGGTACCTAACTTCTCTTATCCCATGCCTTGGCCTCAGTGGTACCCTTGGCCAGCTCCTGCTGCCACTCATCCTCATGCTTTTTCCACCAGACCACAAGTTTCTTCTGCGCCTCTATCTCCAGTTCCGTCTACTTCTAGAGCACCTGAAACCCGCCCCTCGAAGAGGTGGGCTATGGACCATACCCTGATTAACAGACTCCTAACTCTCCATCAGCTCCAGATGGAGCCCTCATGCCTCCACCTCCACAGAATATGGACGACTTTAAACAATTCCAAGAACTTTTCAAGAGGGTGGCACTCAGCCAGGTCATCCCTTTAAAGGACGTCCAGGAGACACAACACAGACTCCTCAAAATCCTCCAACCCTCTGTGCCCTCAAAGATCATGCTCCCCATAAATGAAGCACTCCTAGAACCAGCTAACACCCTCTGGCAGACCCCAGATAAAGTTATCCTGCGACCTCACCCTAAATTTCTCCCTAAGGTGGTGTCCACCTTCCACCTTAACCAACTAATATACTTACCTGCATTCTATCCCAAACCTCATGAAACTCCGCACGAAGTGGCTCTACATACCCTCAACATCAGATGAGCAATCGCCTTTTATCTAGACAGGACTAAACCATTTCGTAAGTCCCCACGGCTATTTGTCTCCACTACCAAGAGATCGAAGGGTACGGCTATCTCTAAGCAATGCCTTTCCAAGTGGATCTTTGACTGCATCAGATCCTGTTACCACATTCAGAATGCCCAACCACCCAAAGGCATCAGAACTCATTCTACTCAAGCTAAGTCAACATACGTTGCCTTCCTCCATAACGTACCTATTCCTGGTATCTGTAAGGCGGCCACATGGATATCTGAACACACATTTACCAAACATTATGCTATCACTCAGGATACCACGGCAGACACCATAGTAGGCCACACAGTACTGTCTACAGTCGTCACTGCCGCAACTCCAAAGTCCCACCAGCCATAGTGGGTACTGCTTCACATTCACCTGGAGTGGAGCACCCACAGGGACAGCACTCGAAGAAGAAGAGAAGATTACTCACCTTGCAGTAACTGAGGTTCTTCTAGATGTGTCCCCCTGTGGGTGCTCCACTCCCCGCCCTCCTCCCCTGTACTTTGGAATACTATTCTGACTTCTCCACGGTAGAGAAGGAACTGAGGGAGGTGCGGGATGCATGCGCTCAGGCAGACTCTAATGAGACCTCAAGACAGCAGTTGAGCGCGTGCGTCCCGAACAGGTACTGCTACCGAAGATCTCTGATCAACTGTGCCAGGACGCACCGTCACTTGGCGTGGAGCACCCACAGGGACACACATCTCAAAGAACCTCAGTTACTGAAAGGTTAGTAACCTTCTCTTCGGCTTTGGCCACCCTCTTGGCTTTGACCCCCATCCTCAGCCTGGGCAGCAGGGCTTGGGCTTCAATCCCCCTTCCCAGGATTACCTAGTAATTTTTGTTGTCAGAAGGGGGTCATGGTGAAATGACGTTTGTGAAACCCTGGCATAGAGCAAGCATTCAGCTGCTGTATGTATCCCTCTATGGTTGCTATGTGTTGCTCGGGGGAATGCAGCCCTTCCCATGGACCCTGCTGTCTCACGCTGGTCAGGTTTAATCACTGCCTGATCAATCTGCATTCCCCCCTTCCATCACAAACACCCCAATATTCATTTGTGGGGGTGAGTTAAGTGAAACTTGTGGAGTTGTCTGTCTCCTCAGGCCCTCTCCTGCATGTTTCTTCATGGGAGCGAATGATCTGATCCTATGATTATGATGATGAAGAGAACATTGAATTCAAAATAACTTCTGCCTGCATAAGGACTGCAGGATTTGGTTTATTAGCATGGTGCACACCATGTGAACTTCCCCAGAATCTTTCCATGCTAATGAGTTTATCAGATACACATCTCTTCAGCCTCAGTTCATGAAAATAATAGTGCACTACACTGACACATATCACTGTAGCCTGGACGCCTCTCAGACAGAATATCTACTCTCCTAGGACATCTTGGGTTACTGAGATCTGCCCTGCTGTCACAGGCAACCCTGTCATATAATCCCATTCATTGCCCTACAGTCTTCACAACTTAGTGGCTTTAAACTTTTATATTTTTCCTTTATTCTGAATGTATCCCTCAGGAAACAACTCCCTGTAATAATCACCTTGCCTACACTTTCTTCAGTCACACATTACATTCTCTCTCCCACTTCCTTTTGGGTTAATATTAGTGTTTGTCAGCAGCAGAATTTTTTCAGCCTGTGAGTCATTACAGTCGCAGTTATGCTCACAATAGAGAGTTCAGAGTGGGGGGGGGGGATTATATCTGATTGCTAGAAAACCATAAGGCTACTCTTGTCTTGTAAATGCCAAGTGTTCAATTATTTTAATTTTCTTGCCTTTGGAAAAAAAATCAAATGTGATGTAGTAGGTTATTTAAACTTAACATTTAGAAGCCTGGACTCAGATTTTTCCAAGTATACACATTTTTATCAAGTATCTCTCTAACATAGGTTTAAAAAAAAGTCTGTCACAAATGAAGTGAGTTTGCTGGTTTCCTCTAGTCCTAGGGATACATTTGTGCACATTACAAAACCGTTGCATTGATTATCATGATTAGAAATCTGTGCTGAGAAAAGGTCCAGTACTTCCATAATAAGTATTTTGCTGGTTGCATTGATAGAGCTGTGAGGATAAGTTTGCCTACTGCCTTCCTGCACTATTATGGCTCTGTCATTTTATCACGGGGGTGCCCTCTGAAACCAACATCCTTGACAACACACAAATTCAGAGTATTTCCCTCATTAGCACAACAGCTGTGCAAATCTTTTGTTATGAGTTTCCAGATCACACAAAATCACTGTGTTTTGGGTTCACACACAAACTAGAACCAGTCCTTTTACAGTTAAACATATTTCTAGGCCTGCAAGCCTTTCAGCTGAGCTAGAGAGAACTTTCCCCCCCTCTCAGTGCAGAGAGGTATATCTCACTAAACTGAGGGCCAGATCTTGGCCCATGCTATAGCTCAGGGTCCTAAAGCTGCCTAACAGGGCAGATGAGGATTCTCCTAGAATGATAGGTGCCATAGAACAATCTAGATAGATAGATGTATTAGCTATAGATAGGTACCATTATCTTCCTTGCTGCTGCCCAACTCCAAATCGGACAGTTCTTTTTCCAGTTGTCACAAGTTTTGCATTGCAATTTAAAGTCAACTTCAAAACCCCAAGAGGGACTAAGCTATCATGAAAGGTGCTCGATGCCAATGCACTGGTCAACAGAGGTGATGATGAGTCAAGTAACTATACTTCTTGTCACTCAATATAGATAAGGACAATGAAGTTAGTGAAAGTCATGAGAAGGAGGAGGAGGAAGACATATTAAAATCTGATGAGGAGGTGTTAATATATTACTCTTAAGCAGGAATGGGGCAGAGTTTGCCATGTTTTCCTTCTCGCCCATGTACATTCAGAGTTGTGCTGCAGATGAGGAATACAGGAATTGCTGTACCAGACCTGGCTAGTGATCCAGCTAGTACAAGATCTTGTCTCCGACTGTGGCCAGTATCAGATACTTGAGATGAATGTGTAAGAAACCATGAAATGGAAAATTATGCAATAACCTGCCCTTTGGGGAAGTTAACTTCTAACTGATGGGAGTTAGAAAGTAGCTTATGCCCTGTAGCATCCATAGTGAGTGACAAGAAGTATTGTCACTTGAATCATCATCTCTGTTGACGAGTGCATTGGCATTGAGTTCCTTTCCTGATAGCTTAGTCCCTCATGGGATTTTAAAGTTCATTTTATTCCCCTCCTGAAAATGTTATGCTATCCAGTGTAACAATGGAGCTTCTCATTATCCAAATAAATGTCTAATCCTTTTCTGAATCCCAAGTACTGAGCATCAGTGATATTTTGTAGCATTGAGTTTCAGAGGTTATACCTGCTTCCTTGAACAGAATTTCTGTGGATATAGGAAGAGTAGGCCTGACCATGTTTCCTGACCTTCCTCCCACCTTAAAGTGCAGGAAGAGGAGCGGTGAAAATGTACAGTCTACCAGTCACCCCTTTCTCCTCTCACAGATCAGAAGCAACAAGAGGGTCCCAAGACTTGTTGGAAGGAGTGGGGTCCTGACTTAGGTTCTGGGGACAAAACCAGGTGAAACTCAACAGCATTTGCTAAGTTTCCCTTTCATTCCCTGGCTTCATTTGAACCTCAAACTTTGTGAAGATTCCCCAAGGGGAACCAATCAAAAATGTATGTTACAACATCTCTACTAAATATGTAAGTCCATTTCAAAAACAGAAGTAGCCTAATATTTTGAAAAGACATACAGTGGAAAAAATATTCAGTTTCTAATGTACATGGATTTGAACATTGAAGTTATCAGGAGATGAAATAGTGCCATTTGAGTTGAGATTTTTATTCAAGCTTTGACTGAGCAGTTTTGCTACAGTGCACTGCTATTTGGAGGAAAAATCTGAAACTGCATCAGACAACCACTCTATTTCGTTCTAGAAAATAACTAGCAATTATAATTACTCACAATGTTTTCCGGCTCAGAATAAAAGTGGCATTGCACAGAACCATACTGAACATTCATCGTGATTAGAAAATACTCCACACCTTGAAGAGCAGTGAAGCCATAAGAATAATTTTAAATGCAAATTAAATTGAGGGGGTAGGAAAGAGAACAGAGAAAAGACAGTAAAACAAAGCCTTTCAATTTCCTCAAATTAGCAGGCTAATGTAATATAAAAAGCAGTTCCACTCAAATCTGTACTAAGGCGTTTCATTTCATCATAATATAAAACAGCAGATCCATCACCTTTCTCTACTCTGTACTCTTGATTTCGAGGTTGAAGTGACAATTTGAAGCTGTTCGCTCTGGCTCACCAACTGGTTACATTGCTTAGTCTTATTTCAAGCCAGTAGGATTGATCAGTAATATTGGTAAGTACCTATCTGCTAACCTGAGCTTTTATTTTTATTTTTAATTCTTTTATATAGGTGCCTTTGCTCTTTAGCAATATACATCTATTGGGAAAAGCTTCATCATGTATTTTGCACAAAGCTACATACTATATAGAAATGTGATGATTCCTAGAGACTATTATATGCATATATTCCACAGTGAGTTAATACAAAAAGTAGGAATATCACAGTGTGAGAGGCTTCTGGATAACCTGTGGCTTTTATGGCATCCTTGGAACATTTAATGAATTTCGTGCCTTTCTGAACTGTGCAAAACAGCCTTACCCAACACACAGCACCAGATAAAAATAGGAGTGATCTCTGAACAGTCTCATTATGACATTATTATTCATCTTACATTTACTGTAAAATACTTCATAGTCTCATTATTCTTGTGGTAAATAGTGAAAGGAGGTCCAGGTCAGTAAAAGTAAATTATTAGACAAAACAAAATGCTTCAATTAATCATTACAACACAATTCAGGTTTTCTGAGCTTCTGAAAGGGAAAGTGATCAAGATAAGAGCAAAAACCGAATTAATGAAGGAACTTGATATAGGATTGTTGTTGTTGTTGTTGTTGTTGTTTTTTTCTTTTTTTCCTTGGGAAAGTTTTATCAGGGGTTTATTCCTTCAGTGTTGAGGGTGTGGGGGAGTTGATAGTAGTGTCACCTTCTGTTGCTAAGTAACCACATCTCCTGGCCATTTTTATCAGATAAAGGAAGTCCAGTTGACGTTATGCATTATTCATCAGAGTTCCAATCAAATAATCAAAATTATTTGCTTACACTGGGGATATTTTAGTAAGATCAAGGAAGCCCACCCTGAAACTACAGGAGCTTCCACCACTGGCAGGCAGCTCTTGTTATTTGCAGTAAGTATCAATTGTTGTTCAGAATACTCCAATGAAGGGATATGTTGAAGAATTTTAGAAGTTTTCTCATTAGTATAGGTTTGTAAATTGAAAATGATTTCACATGTTGTTCCAAACAAATAGATTTATACTTTGGAATTCAAGACATTGCTTGAGGTGAGGATCATTCTTTCACAGCACCCTAAAAGAAATGCTCTGAAAGAGGAAGGACTATTGATCTCTTTTTTTAAAAAAAATGAAGGTTATTGGTGATATTTATATAGCTGCTTATACATCTATGCATACATGCTGGGAAAGATGCAAAGAAATGCCAGTGTATATCTTTTCTGTAACTGCTGGACTTTAAATATACAATATATATAATTGCTGTGTGAAGTGAAAGAAAATGCAGGAGGCAACAGGGAGGTAGGGAAAGGTTCATGATAATTGACATGTCAATGTGTGTCACACAAGAAACACCGTATGTCAGAGAAGAGGTTAACTCATAGACTACATACCATAAATGGGTTCAAGGGAATACTGCAATGAATGGGTCAGCCAAGAATCAATGCTAAGAGTGCTTGACAATACCTGTTATCAAACATGTTAAAAGCTGATGGTGTGAAGTTCTGCTGCTCCTTTAAGTCAATGTAAAGAAGGGGGCCAGGGGGAAGAGTTCGTTTTCTCACCTTTTTGTGGAATGGCATAACTACTGAAGTGCAATCTAGTTCTGTCTGGTCTGGTGAAATGTTTGTGTTTTTAACATAAATATTATCATCATTTGTTTTACTGTAGTGCCTAATGGCCCTAATCAGGTTGGGATCTTGTTGCACTAGGCATTGTACAGACATAAAGTAAAAGACGACCCCTGCCCCAAAGTTCTTACAATCTTAGCTTAAGACAGGATGCCTCAGGTGGGTAAAACAAGTGTATGTTGTGGCGGGATGGAGGCTGTGGATGGGCTATCACTGATAATTCTAGGAATCTTGTTTGTGTTTGGTATTTCTATTTTCCTCATATTTTCTTCAGCTGGGAATATGAAAAATTATTCTTTGAAACTAAAATCTGTGGTTTAAAAATATTCTATGCATGATGGTTTTAAATGCTTTTCCCCAGATCCACTCTGATATGCCAGATTGAGATGTTTTTTAAATACTGCATACAGAATTCTTTACTCAGAAAAAATCTGTGATTTTTATTTATATTTGTATGTTTGATCTTTAGTTGTTTCCCCCCCCAGGAATTTGACTGATCACATCGGTTTGAAAAGAAAGGTGTATTGGCAACAAAAAGTTCCTCCAAGATGGACTATTTTTTGGATGTTGAGTCTGCTCACAGACTGATGTTATACAGTCAAGGAGCTCAAGGTAAAAAAACTTGAGATAGAAAATCAGAAATATAATTGTATTACATATATGGGGTCAAATTATGGCTGCTCGCTTGTAGGTGAACTGTTGAAGGGTAAGAAAGCACAGGGTGTCCTTTCCCCCAAAAAACAGCCACACAAGAAGTCCAGAAAACAGTAAGTGGGCTGATTTTCTCTCTCTGAGCATAAGAACGAGCCATTAAAGCAGCTGGCAGCACAGTCGAAACCAAAGGATAAAACATGTTTGGTAATGAGAGATCTCTCCCTTGGCACAACAGGTAGTGCAGGGAAGGTAGAGCTGAGATATGTGCTATACCTCTTGTACAGATGCATCAAGTGCAGCTGCTGTGTATGGCTTCCTCTGGTCCCTTGGACTCATGAATAATAGCCCCCCCTCCTCCCACTCACTTCTTAGGCATGATAAGTGCTTTCCCTCTAAAAGTCCACATTTTCTATGATACCTTAAAATTAAAAATTGGGGGTGATTTTAGTTTATACCTTTTCCCCCTTTTCTTTGTCAGTGGCAAAATGGAAAAGGAAGGGGGGCAGAAAGAAGGAAAACAGTAAAAGTGGAAGGAAGAGGGAGGAAATAAAACAAATAACTCAAGAGATGTTTCATTTTGAAATCTGGGGTGAAAAAAGAACACTTTGAAATGTTTTGTGAAAAAACATCACCATTTTCCCACCATCTCTAATTTTTGGGAATCCAATGAGGATACCATTGAAAGCCATTTACTGTGGAGGGGGGAGGGGCAAAAACATCTTCAGGAATAATATTTTAATAGCATAACTTAAAGGCATTATAAAAACGGTGAGGTTGGTAAATGTAAGGTCCAAATCAATGGTTCTCAACCTATTTACCATAGTGGGCCGCATATGCTGCTCTCTTTGTGTTATGTGGGCTGCATCCACATACTATATATACCTCCTGTATGGCCCTGATGATGTCACATTGACCACAGTGTGTGCTGATTGGGCTGCAAGTGGCCCACAGGCCACAGGTTGAGAACCCCTGGTCCAAATAGCTCCATCCAGTTTCAGTCTTATTTTCACATACTGCACTTTCACTTGAGAAGAAAGTCCAGGTTTTCTATAACAAACTTTGTTCAGCTGCCAATCAAATGTATAGTTGTCAGGGTTCCCCACCCACTCTGAACTCTGGGGTACAGATGTGGGGACCCACATGAAAGACCCCCTACACTTATATTCTACCAGCTTAGGTTAAAACTTCCCCAAGGCACAAATTCCTTTCCTTGTCCTTGGACGGTATTGCTGCCACCACCAATTGATTTACATAAAAATTCAGGGAAGGGTCATTTGGAATCCCTATTTCCCCAAAATATCCCCCCAAGCCCCTTCACCCCCTTTCCTGGGGAGGCTTGAGAATAATATACCAACTAATTACCTTAGCAGTGTGAGCGCAGACCAGACCCTTTCTCTTCAGGACACTGAAATCAATTAGGTTCTTAAAAGAACTTTATTATAAAGTAAAAGAATCACACCTGCAAAATCAGGATGGAAGGTAACTTTACAGGGCGATAAAAAGATTTAAAACACAGAGGATTCCCCTCTGGGCTCAGCTTCACAGTTACAAAAACAGGAATAAAACTACCTCTGTAGCATAGGAAAAATTCACAAGCAAAAACAAAAGATAACCTAATGCATTTCCTTGCCCTACTTACAGTTTATGTGGTTTTAGATGGATTATTCCAGGTATATTTTCAGGAGATGTTATACCCGCTTGGCTTCTCCCTCCGTCCAGAGAGGGACCAAACAAAGAGAACAACAAACAAATCCTCCCCCCCACCAGATTTGAAAGTATCTTCTTTCCTCATTGGTCCTTCTGGTCAGGTGCCAAGTAGGTTATTTGAACTTCTTAGCCCCTTACAGGTAAGGCGATTCAGTACAGCTTCCAAGGAGGGATTTTATGCTACTGCATACATAAAGGTTGTTACCCTTCCCTCTATATTTATGACAATAGTCAAACTAATAGACACTGTATGCCACATCAGATCAGGTTTTTTAAGGTGAAATGCACTTTCCACCTGCATAAACCCAAGCATTCATGTTGTACACAGATGTGCACTACCCTCACCCCAGGACGTAAGTGTGGCACTGCTGCACAGCCAACTGCAACGGCTATTCCAGTCAATGGGCTAGAATTTCATCTCCACACCCCTATGCAAGATGCACAGGGAAACCTTTAAAGGTAGATCTGCAGCTCTTCCCTTGTCCCATTGTAGCCTTCTGCATCAAACAGTGATAATTCAGGACCTTAAGCACCTAGTAGGACCAAGCAAATAGATTGAAAGCTCCAATGGGCAGAGGCCTATTTTGTTTTGTTTTTAATTACTTCATCTCTAAAGTGCTATGCACGCCTGAGTACTGTGATAGAAGTAATATAATAATAAATCATCCCGCATCAGTATGAGGACAGACCCCTCATGACTCCACAGAAAGGAAAACTGGAATTCAGAAATCTGTAACTTGCCTGACTTATTATCTTAGATTTCCATACCAATTGAGGAACATCCCATGCACTGAATGAGGCAGGTTTTCTGTGGAAAAGAGTGTATCATAATGCATATGCACAAGAGGACCAAATTAAGATTGCACCGACATTTCTTAGCTTCTGAGTGCTTGATTTTGAAATCTTAACTTTCCTTTAACATAGTTTTTGTATGTAATTTCCTAACTTTTTAAAAAACAAACTAAAAAACCAGAACTTCCATCATGAAGAATTATCACCACATGGATCATCAGCAGGGTGGTGACAGTTAGACCCACCACACAGATCTCTATCACTTGAGTTAAGGAAGGAACTGGTAGTGGTAGTAGGGTGTCTTCCTCTTTGTGGACAAGCACCAGTGGATTTCACAGGTATGTGCTGATAGTAGAGACATTGTGAGACTCAGGAATCCTGGGTTCAATGCCAGGTTCTGACAGGAGTGTGCCAGTATAGGTTATAGAACTTTCTGCCCTCTCCCCAGCATCTCTGCCCTATTCTCCTTCCCGGACTCATGTACCTTTGTTTGTCTGCTTTTATGCATCTCAATGGTACCTGTCCCTTTCCTTCTCCACTTCTATTCCACTTGTTCCCCTCTGCTCCTATCTCCACCCTTCACCTGGGCTCCTGTCCTTATTATCTGTCTTCCACCCCATGCTCATCAGATCTCTTCCCCACCGCTTTTGTAACTCTCCCCCCCCACCACCACCAACTTTTCCTCTATATTTGTGTGAGGCTGCTTGCTGCTGCTCCTCCTTTTCCCTGCCTGAGTTCCAGTAGGGGGAGCAGTGAAAGCACAACAAACAGTCTCGCCACTCTCAGTTCTGGTGACTGGGGCCACAGCAGTCCTTGGCAATAGCAGGGGCAGCCCTTGCCACTCTGGGCTGGAGCATGCTCCATCACTCTGTGGGGATGGTGCATACACGTTCTGGTCAACAATAGGAGCTGAGGGATGGAGCAATTCAGGTGCAGACAGAATCCCCAGAGAATTTAGCTGCCAGCCTTTAACAAGCCGCTATTGAGCATGAGTGAACTGAGATTTTCAGAGGTTCTAAATTTTGCCAATCTGGGCATATTGTCACAAACGGCAAAGAGAACATTCCCAGCACTAGGGTACCCCTTGCCAAATTTCAAGTCTGTCCTTCAAAGCATGGAGACACTAGAGTTTCTCAATTTTACAGTTGTATGGTTTGGGTTTGGGTTTACTCCTGGGCAAAACAATGTATTTTTCCTTTACCTCATTTTTGGAAATGGCTACGCCATTTTAACTGAAACTTTCTTTAAAAATTCAACCTGAAGCAGGCACCTGGCGTGAACATTTTAGTTCAAACAGTTAAAGTTTGGCAAAGTTATAAACAACTAAAAACAGAATCTTATAATGGAAAACATTGTACAACTTTAACTAGAGGTGTTGCTGCCAGATTCACCTAGAATGATTGCATAATGTTAAAATTTTGTCTCAAATCATACAATCAGTGTATTTGTATTTTTTTAAAACTGCATTTTGGTCAAGTCAAAAAGAGATGGCCATATTCTGTCATTAAATACATAGTGATCACAAATTAAATTATTACAGGTATTATTTTATTATTATTTTGTCTTATTTAAGTTATTACATTATAAATTGTAAATGCAACGTACTATAGAATCAGGGCTTATTACTGTGAGAATATATTTATCCAGGAATCATATGTATTAAAACATTACTCACATATGACCAGTTATGCGCCTTTCTAATGCTCATACTCATTCTCACTCTTTCTTCCCCTATTAACCTCCCCCTATTTCTCTAATCCTTAACATATTGTTCTTTAGAATCTGATTTTAAAAGGAAATTAAAGTGAAAAGACAATAAATCAGTCGTTCCACTCTCCATAATCCATATGCACCTGTAATCAGCAACCAGTTGAACCCATAGCTTGCATACGGCCATAGAAAAATACTCATAGTTTGTATCTTTAATTTTTAAGTTCTTTTTAGAAATTCTTGGATCAAAACACAAAGAAAACTTCTGTCTATGCTATGTACAGCTATTGTGAACTCTACACAAGGGGGGAAAGTGGCAAGAGGAGAGAATGCCAGTGATGAAATGCAGTCTAAGTGCAGCCAAACAGTTAATAGGCTCTTATTCATACCTAATGAAAATAAGTAGTAGATAAGTATCCCATTCAATCAGCATCAGCTATATCCCAATTCAAATCAATTTATAGATGTTCCCAATAATAACTTATTCAAAATTTGCCCTATGAAATCTGTTTTTCCTCAAAAACTTAAGACTTCAACACAAAATATCAAATTTTTTGCGCTATTTCCAGATCACTGAAGTTTCTTTCAGTTATATACATCAAAAACACATCACTTTCGGTACAGTTAAAACTACATGGTTCAAGCTAAATATGTTAGTACATTGAGAAAATATTAGAAAATAAACAAAACAACTCAAGCAAGCTCCTCTGCCATTAGGAGATAACACAGCATTATTCAAGTAAGGATTC